AAACTTTATAAATAAACCATAACATCTACTATTTATTCTATTATCTACCAAATAGTATTTATTATTTTACCTTCCATATTTATACTTCAGTCAAGGTTATAGATTAAATATAAGCCTTTAAAGTTTATTCATAGTATGCAAAAAAGTATTATTAAGATTATACTTTACCAATGTTTAGTGCATTTGAACTCGTACAAGCAAAATACTCAATTAAATTAGGATGATTGAGAGAACTTCTAAAATTATGTATATCAATAATTGATGAATCTTTTTCAAATATATGTACATGCTATAAAGTAGATTAGATAATTTACAAATGAAAATAACAAAGGCTAATTAGTTTCTTTAATTTTCCATAATTAAATTTATCCTAAACCTGGATGTTGTAACATTCCTTAATCTATTAGTTATTCACTTAAATCTTATGCATAGTTCAATGGTGCATGATAATTTATTAGAGTTTAAAGATTTCCCATTTTTATTAAAATTATAACAAATAAAATTTATTTACATTGATAAATAAATCACTTTCTTTTTTTATTAGCATTTTATTCAATTCTAAATATTGGAACATACTTAAAATAATATTTAAATTTACTTTTGTTATTCCATAAATAACTACTAACCATGCACTCACTCCTAGAATTAGATACAAATCAATAAATGCTGAATAAAATTTGATAATTTGTCCTTTTAATTGAGATGATGTAAAGAATTTTCTATCTTTTACTACATACTGCATTTTCGTTGTATGTTTAAATAATTATCTTAATAACTATTATATAATATAAAATTATTTACAGAATTCAAATCATTCATGAATTTTGAATCTTTTTAAAGATTTGCAGGATGTCTATTTGGTGTATTGATAAATTAATTCAAAGCTTCATCAAATAATTAATCTTAATGTTATTTTTAATATGGTTAACCATCAATCAATTAACTCACTAAATTTATTATAATTTATTAATTGTCTTGTACTATTGTAGAATTTTATTGAGTTAATATCTTAAGTTATTTCTATGTATATAATCTGATTGTATCTATTTCTTTATTTGAAATGTTTGTAGTTTCAGATTCTATAATTGATACATCAAATTCAGTCAATTATTCTTAAATTTAACTTAATAATGAAGAACTGACTTCAACATATAATTTTTCATTTTATTTAATTTAATCAAAGATTATTATTGTGTCTATTGTAGATAGAATTCTTTAATATTCTTATTTCTTATAGAATTAGTTTAATCCATATTCATTTAATGATGTAGATGTGGAAATATAAAATATTATATTTCGACTAATTATATAAATATATGATTATTACTTTAATCTTTATTAATATTTAAACTCTCTAGCAATCTTAAAAAAGATAGATGATTAAATTCCAAATCTATTTATTGGAATTGTTATTTCAGCTGATGGTAAATTTTCATCAATTCCTAACACAATAAGTGTAGAAGGATTGTTTTACTTAAAATTAGAAATGCTTTCTAATAAATTCTAATATTTTAGATATTAAATATTACATATGAATCCTCTAAAGTAAGCACTTATTTTTAATCTACACTTGTGACTTATAATTAATATTCCTACTCTGTTTCACTTTGAATTTCCTTATAATGATTATTAATATTCTCAGATTCATAAGTGAAATAAATGGGGATTGTTGCTCCCTTAGGACCTACATTCAATAATTTAAATACCCAAATTAGTTGTGATTAAGTCCCATATTTATGATTCATTATCTTGAGATAATTGATCTAGAATTATCAATATGCCATTTGGTTTGTTGGTAAGTAATTCAGATATCGAATTTGCATTTATTTCTGAAAATTTAATTAATGCCACTTTTCTTGATGACAATTCTGACCAATGAGTTGTGAGTAATTAGAAAGAAGCTATCTTACTTCCACTCCAAAATTGATCTTATTCAATGCCTACCATTCTATAAACATCCAATTCAAATGCATTTATTACATTTAATGTAATTAGGAAGATAGCCAATAAATTATTCATTAATTTATTTATTTATACTTGAATGTTAAATACTTAAGTAAATTTATTCAAATATTCAAAAGAATTAAATCAATATATAACAAATTATTAAGATTGAATAATAATTCTTATATTTCACAATCTTTTAATAAGGTATAATAATTAAATAAAATACTCTCTGATTCAACAATATATTATAATATATTAATATATATCAAAAATTAAATTAATTTAATCAATTCGATTTCATTAAAATTCCTACTTTCTTCTTTATGATTCAAAGCTTTTTCTCTAAATTTAATAGGAATAGATGAAATACAAAGTCAATTTTAATAGATTTATAAAAAATAATTATATTATCTTCAAATTAACTTGAATTTCATTATATATCAGAAATATCTAAAACAAATTGAAAAGGGTTTTAAATATATCTGATTCACTTATTTGAGCATTTAAATTAAACCTATTAGTAAAAAAATTATGATATCTTCTAATTATAATTAAATTGTTTTATAATTAATCTTCATCTTTGTTTGCTTTTGAATTTTAATCACATCTTTTTATTCATTCCAATAATTCAATTTAGAATTATTAAACAAATAAATTTTATGATTTGATATATCATTTAATTTAAGAATTATAGAACTATTTATTCTTCTTTTTTATTTATTAACTTCCTTTTTGGATATATAAATTATTTTTTGAATTGGATATATTTATATATAAATACAAACTCATTAAATTACGTTAAATTATATTAATAAAAAATTTAGTATATTAGCAAATAATATTGTTCGATTAAATTTATTTGAAAAATCTTATTTTAAAAATGGGTTGTGGTTAATCATCTGCTTCATTTTTTGAATCCAGAGGCTTGATTTACATTTATTATGGTACTACATCTGGAAACTCGAGTAGACTGGCATTTACTTTTGCTAACGAAACAAGAAAACTAAACTTTCTAACTAAGGGTAAGGATGTTATCTAAAAATATAGTAATTAATCTTAGTGAATTTGAACCTGATTAAATAAGTTCATAGAAACTGGCTGTGTTTTTTGTCTCTACATATGGAGTTGGATCCTGCTCCTCTGATGCTTAAAAGTTTAATTCTTGGATTTTTTCAAAAGAGAGAAAAAATGATGAATTCAATAATATGTCTTATATAGTATTTGCTCTTGGGAATACTAATCATGAAAATTATTGTTAATTTGGAATAAAATTAGATAATAGATTAGAAGAACTTGGAGCAAAAAGACTCTTTGCTTTAGGTAAAGGCAATGCAGCTGAAAATACAACTGAAAATGATTATCAAAATTGGATAAATACAGGAGTAGAATAAACTCTTATATAAACATATCCTGCATAGACATGTGATCCAAAAAAGTTTGAATAATCGATTTAAAAGATCAAATATACAAATGAATCAGAAAATGAAAATCATCCTAATTTAGATTATTAGGCATAAAAATATAAAAATAGCATTACTTTTACTATAAATGAAATAAAAGAATTAAAGAAGAAACCAACACTTGGAAATTCAACTCTATTTATTGATCTGATTGCTGATAATATTAATTATGTAACAGCTAGTAATATTGCTATTTATCCATAGAACTCAGAGTAATATAAATATTTTATTTTTAGTTAAGATATCAATGAATTATGTAATTAACTTAGATTTGATAAAAATATGAAATTTGAAATCATTACAACATCTAAACATCCATTTCCTAATCCTATTTCAATCTACAATTATTTAAAAAAGTATAGTAAATATTTATTAAAATAGATATTGTGATTTTACTGGTTTAATAACAAAAAAATAATTAATGGAGTTATCTAATTAGGTTATTAATAAATAACATAAAGAGGAATTATTAAATGCTGCTTCATTTGAAGGAAGAGATTTCTATGATGAAAATTTTAATAAAAAGAGAGAAAATTTGCTTACTGTTATAAAAAAATACAATATACGCAATTTATCTATTGAATAATTATTAGAAATATGTCCTATGATAAATCCTAGATTTTTCACAATAGCATCTAGCAATATGAAATATCCAAAAAATATTCATATTTTAGCTAGTTAACTTATTTTGTATGAAAAAAGACTTGGACTTTGCAGTTAATATTTTTCAAATTTAAAAAAAGGGTCTGTGTTAAAAGGGTATCTTTCTGATTCTAAATTTGTTTTCCCTAAAAACCCTAAAGTTCCAATATTATTAATTGGACCAGGAGCAGGATTGGCTCCAATGAGAGCTTTGATTTAAGAAAGAGATTATTATTTGGAATCTAATAATTTAGAGAAATCTCCTTTATAAGGAAATATGGAATTATTATTTGGATGCAGAACTGAAGATGAATATTTTTTTGAAGAAGAACTTAAGCATTATGAAAAGAATGGTACTTTAAGTAATTTGAAAGTTGCTTTTTCAAGGAAGACTATAAAACAATATGTGACAGATATTATGGATTTAAACTAAATACATTCGCATTTATCAATGGAAGGAATAATTTACATTTGTGGATCTTCATAAATGGGTAGAGATATTAATAACAAAATATAGGATATGTATAAACAGATAGAAAATATTGCACCTTATTTAGCATTTAAAAAAATTAGTGAATTGGAACAGAAATAATAACTAATTACAGAATTATGGGGATGATATTGATTTATCATTATATCTTTATAGATAAAATTATTTTTATAGATCCATCTTATTTGTGCTCTACAAATAGTTCCATTTTAAGATGATCTCTAATTATTATTTCATTAATAATCTTTAGATTTCTTACTTATATATATTTAAGATATATTAATTTATTGTAAATTAGAATATTAATAGATATTTTATATTATGATTTTAATAGAAAAAATTATATTAGAATTATTCTATTTTGAATTCAAATAGGGATGTAAGATATAAATATAGAAAATAGTCTGAATGATAATATTTTGACATAATTATTTTGGTCAAAAAATGGAATAAGAAAATGATCAGAAATCTTTGTCCCAATTAGGATCTTTGGCTAATTCCTTTTTATATTTTTGTTTTTGCATCGATTGTTCTTATTTGATTTCTTGAACAACTGGTTTACCCTATTAGAATTTCTTCTCAATATCATGTTCTGAGATCATTCTATCTTTAGGAGGAACATACTAAAATAATAATTAATATAGATTTAAATACAGGAACTTTTTATAATTCTCTGCTGAACAATTTATCAAAATCAAAATCATCAAACCATGGATTAGCTTTTAAAGCAGAAAATGATGATCCTAATCTTGTTTCTGGTTATTTACTAAGTAATTATTCCATAAACTTTTTAGCTTATCTATCTCTAATGAAAGTAGGGAATTTTAATTATGTATTCATTATTTCTTCATAAATTTCATAAGGATCCTAAGCTATAATTAATAAATACATCTTATTCTTCTGCATAAGGAACTCCTCCACACATAAATTCATACATACAAATACCCATGCTCCATAAATCTACATTAAATGAATATCCCTTTCCTAGTATAATCTCAGGTGCCATATAATGAGGAGTTCCAATAATAGTGTAAGTTCTGTAAGCTCTTGATTTAATTAATGGTTTTGCAGTTCCCAAATCAATTAAATACATGTAACCTGCATCATTTACCATAATATTTTCTGGTTTTAAATCTCTATATACTATTGATTTTGAATGTAGATATTCTAATGCTAATATCATAGTAGCAACATAGAATTAAGTATCATATTTTGTTAATAAACCCATGTCTCTAATTACCTTAGATAATAGATCTAAATGTTACATCAAACAATTCCATTCCTCTGATATACTCTACTAAAAAGTAGATAGAAATGTCATCCTTGAATGTTCTTATGAAACCCATAATAAAAGGAAAATTACATTGTTCCAAAACAGTTTTTTCTTATAATATATGTTTTTCTAAATTTTATTCAATTATTGAAGCTTTGCTAACAGATTTAAGAGCAAAAACTTTATTAATTGATTTATGCTTAACCAAATAGACCATACCAAATTATCCTTCTCCTAATTTTTTAATATATATTAAATCTTCAACTGAAATATGAGATGCATCTGCCCTTTCTCCTAATTATTTAATTTTCTTTTCATGTGAATTTTCATTTTTCTTTAATGCAGTTTCTAAATCTCCTCCAAATATTTTAAAGAGAGATTGATATGAAATAGTAGCTAATACTCCATCTCTAACCATTTCATATTGAGATTCAATTATTTATCCATATTTTTCTTTCATTAAAAATTAATCTCCAAAACATAATCCTTTAGGTACTGAATCTTATTTAGCATTAGTCATTACTCCTTCTAAAACAACAATTAATTTATCACAAGCCTTGCCAGCTTCTAAAATAACCTAACCTTTTTTATAATTATCTATTTTAGCTCTCTAAGCTATTTTTTCTAATTAAATTTTTGATAATTATTTTAAAACTTCACTTTTCTCAAAACTCCATCTCATAATATTACTAAAAATGATTATTTAAACTTTATCTCCTAATATTTTTGTTAGATTTTCTCTACCCAATGCAACACATTTAACTTCTGTCTCAGCAACACAAGTTGCTCCTCTTTTAGATTTTTCATATAAAGCTTATTCTCTAATTATAAATCTTCATTATATACCCAAAACTATCCTTAGCACCCATCTTTCTTATCTCTTTGGTTCCTTTTAATACTGAAACTTCACCACTCTTTATCACATAAAATGAATCTGCCTAATCTCCTTCATTAACTATTGCTTAACCTGGAACAAATTTAGTTGTTATTAAAGCATGTGCAATTGAATCTTTTTAATCTGATGTCATAAATGAAAAAAATGGAACCTATTATTAATAATTGTTAATACTTCATCTATAAATTTTCTATTTTCATCATATTCTTTTAACATTAACTCTTCAATTGTTTTTTTAAATGTACTACGATCTAATGACCAAAATCCACAATCTGTCAAAGTTCTAATAGAAGCAGATCGAGTGGCATTGTAAAGAAGTGCAATTTCACCGAAATAACTGCCTTCTGTTAATGTTCGAATTTGTTTATCGTTTATTATAATTTCTACAGATCCTCTTTCAATCACAAAATAGGAACTTGCCTATTTTTTAGAGATCAATGCAATACTTGATCTCCTTATTTAAAAATAAATTAATTAGCTTTTAAAGTGCAATAAAACATATGTTCTATTAATTAAGCTATTTAATCTTCTGGCAGACTAAAAAATACGAAATGACCTTTAAAGCTTTTTCTTATCAAATCAATATCAGATTCTACAATATTTATGTATAATACATTGCATTTCTCTATCAATTCTTGTAACATTTTCATGTATTTAATGATTTACATCATCTCCACCTCTATATTTTTTTTGTTATTTTTTTTAAGCTCTGACAACATCTTCTGGAGGTGGCTAAGCTGGACCTAGTTAAGAATCACTAAATAATAACATTTAATACATTTTTAATTATTCTTCATTGTCTATTGTTTACTTATGCTTTGATTCAGGTTAGACCAATAACTATTGATTAGATATATTCATTCTAATACTTTTGGAATTTTTTTGCCGATGAGATCTTCTATTTCTGATGTTGTAGTAGATTTAACTGAAGCACTTCTCTATTTTTATTCTGGTTCTGCCGCTAATTGAGAAGAATTTGAAGAACCACAACCCATATTTTATATTAATTTAAATATAATTATATTCAGTATTTCTATGTCAATATTAATAATCAACTTAAAGTTAGAGTTAATTGATCTTGCATCTTTAACTAAGAATTAATAATGTTGATCAATAATTTATATTTTAGAGATTTTATTAAATATCGGTTTTGCTTTTTCAATTATATTATAATAATAATTCATTTTTATACATTTTTATGTATTAATAACAATATAGAATATACATTTAATAATATTGTTGATATCCCTAATTTCTTAGTTAAATTGATACTTTTTATTCATACAATGAAAAATAGAATTTAAATTATTTGGAATTTGATAATTTCAGGTATAATATATATGTATATTTAATAAATTCAATTTATATTCTACTATTTTTCTTATTGATTTTAGATTATGTATTTTTTAAAACACTATTTTTATGTTGATAAATTCTTATCCATCTAAAATAATTAATTTTTAAAAATGTTGAAATCAATCATTTCATTTTTTTCATTCTTTTAGTCATCCACAAGAATAGCTTATATTTACTTTAATAGAATTCTATAATAATTTTGTATTTCTAGAGAATATTATTAATAATAATGATCAAATCCATTCTCACCAAATTTTTCATTTAAATAATATGTATAATATAAAAATCTAAATAAAATAATTTATTACATTTTTTCGAATTTCTGAAATTTTATTAAATTATTCAACCCTCTTCTAAGTATATATGTGTATTCATCTTACTGTTATTAATTTATTAACTTCTAATAATATTCCAATTAACAAATATTTTTCTATATTTTAGACTCATTTTGGCACATATTATTGAATATTTAAGAAGGATTCTTAATATGAGCTGAAAAAGGGCAATTATAAAAATCTTATCCATGCTCTGGATTCCAAGATTATGAACATTTGATACAGAAATCTTTACCACAGATGCATGAAATTTACATACAACCTTGAATTTTCTGGATATATCTCTTACAATTTGGACATGCAGATATATCTAATCTAGTCCAAGATTAATATGATTCTTGAAATTATGTTATCTCCTAATATATATCACAAGTTATAGGATAATGATTTTCTGTTTTACATTTTGGACAAAACTTTAAGCCACAATGACATTTCTATTTCTATTTAAAATACTCCTATTTATATATATTTTAACATAAAAATCCTTAAATATAATAATTCATCTATACCTGGACACCATGTAAAATTTTGGTCATTATCCAACATTCTCTTAACCAAAATATCTTTGTAAGACTAATACTACTCTAAAAATGTATGAGGTAATCTTTCTAAACATTTATATTCTAAACATTTCACAATAGGTATAAAGTTTGATAATTAAATTTCTATCATTTAATTCCAACAATCTTTACAAAATATATGTTAACACTTTAAACTATAACATTCCATATTTTCAGATAAACATAATAAGCAAGACTAACTCTTATAGTATTTTAACGAGGAATCCCTATAAATTCCTATTTATTTTAAGTCTTCTTTATAATCATTATTAGCATTTAACAAATTAAAGCAATTCTTAATTTTCTCTGCTTAAAAATTACAATATATAAATATCTTAGAATATTTAATTTTTATACATTCAACACAATTTAAATGCTTTCTTTAGTATTAATTTATTCATTTAAAAGCTTTTTTTATAGCTCCTGATAAAGCTCAGGTTGCATTAATAATTTTAAATTTTCTTATTTACTTAGTATTTCTATCATTCGCGGTTTTCTAATACTATATACACGAAATCCTTCTTCTTTTTCTTCTTTGATTACATCAGCTTTGACACTACTTTTTCCTATTTTTTCTTTTAAAATTAGTTCATCTATGAAACTTCTTTTTCCATTTTTTTCTTATTAACTTAATCCAGACTTCTAAGACCTATGTCGTTTGGAGCAAACTTAACCCATTTTATTTATTTTATTATAAATTTCAATTTTTTTTTATATTTATTCTATTTTTAGATAAATCTAATCTTCATGAAAAGATTACTTTGATAAAAAACAATCTATGATGTAAAAAGGTGACAATTTGAAAAAAAATTTATAATTGTAGTTTGGTTATAGTTCTAATTATAAAAAATATTTGAGAATTTGTATACTCTACAATATAAATTATCATTATTTTTTAAATTTAATGATGAGATTGAATAACTTTATTCTCCAAATCATCAATTTTATTAATTTATTGATGTTTTAAAATATTAAAAAAAATACATTCATAATTTATTTATTTTAATACAAATATGCATGAATATCTATTAAATAATTAATATTTATAAGGTTAAATCCTTTCTCTTATTATTAAAATATATTTAGTTTTAGGCAATCAATTTTAAGAGTATATTTTTAGTAATAATATATAACTATATAACTGTTATATAATGATTATTATTTGGAATATAATTATATCTAACAGATATCTAACAAATTGAAAAAAACTTATTAGTTTAATAACTGGTATTAATATAAGAATTGTTAAAAAAAAATTGAGCTTTTAGTATTATATTAATGGGAATATGAATTTTAATTAATTTTTTGATGATTGTAAATCAAATGATGGATTTTTTAAAGTCTATTGATATATAGGACTAAGATTAAGCCTAGTTGAAAACCATAGTCACAAATTATGCTGCAGAATTTGGACATTGAATTTTTGCACAACCTAAAAGTTTTCCTGCTGCAAAACTCTTATTCAAGCATGTCTCAAATTATTCATAGAAATTATCTTCAGCAATATGAGATTTCAAATCTTTCAAACAAGTGGTTAATTGTTTGGCACTATTATAGTGATATTCCACTTTTAATACCAATCGCTTTACTCCATACATTCCATAGCTGTACCCTTACACATAGCAGGATTACATTATCTTAAGTTGAGACAATTAGATAAAGTAATTATGAAAGTTATCATTACTAGACTTTTCATCATTTTTTTAAAACGAATTTATATATTATTAATATTTAGGTAATACTATAATTTACATATCTTGATGTTTCATATTTTTAGATTTTTATAGCAGCTTATTTATTAAGAGTATTGATTAAATTTTAGGTATTCAATCTAATTTTATATCTCTATTTTATACTAGAAAAAATAATTTTAAATTTAGAATTTACTCTAACAACCTATCGAATATTTCATTATAATTTATTTACATCTAATCTAGTTGTGATTATTTTATATTACATTATATCCTTAAATTTTAGAGATCTTCAAATTATCAATTTTATGGTTTAATTTTACTTATTTATTAATAATTCCATCCACTCATTAAATTGAATATAGAGATTTCTAGGCCATATATATATTATTTCAATCTATCATTAATATGTCGTTGCCTATANTTATCATTATTTTTTAAATTTAATGATGAGATTGAATAACTTTATTCTCCAAATCATCAATTTTATTAATTTATTGATGTTTTAAAATATTAAAAAAAATACATTCATAATTTATTTATTTTAATACAAATATGCATGAATATCTATTAAATAATTAATATTTATAAGGTTAAATCCTTTCTCTTATTATTAAAATATATTTAGTTTTAGGCAATCAATTTTAAGAGTATATTTTTAGTAATAATATATAACTATATAACTGTTATATAATGATTATTATTTGGAATATAATTATATCTAACAGATATCTAACAAATTGAAAAAAACTTATTAGTTTAATAACTGGTATTAATATAAGAATTGTTAAAAAAAAATTGAGCTTTTAGTATTATATTAATGGGAATATGAATTTTAATTAATTTTTTGATGATTGTAAATCAAATGATGGATTTTTTAAAGTCTATTGATATATAGGACTAAGATTAAGCCTAGTTGAAAACCATAGTCACAAATTATGCTGCAGAATTTGGACATTGAATTTTTGCACAACCTAAAAGTTTTCCTGCTGCAAAACTCTTATTCAAGCATGTCTCAAATTATTCATAGAAATTATCTTCAGCAATATGAGATTTCAAATCTTTCAAACAAGTGGTTAATTGTTTGGCACTATTATAGTGATATTCCACTTTTAATACCAATCGCTTTACTCCATACATTCCATAGCTGTACCCTTACACATAGCAGGATTACATTATCTTAAGTTGAGACAATTAGATAAAGTAATTATGAAAGTTATCATTACTAGACTTTTCATCATTTTTTTAAAACGAATTTATATATTATTAATATTTAGGTAATACTATAATTTACATATCTTGATGTTTCATATTTTTAGATTTTTATAGCAGCTTATTTATTAAGAGTATTGATTAAATTTTAGGTATTCAATCTAATTTTATATCTCTATTTTATACTAGAAAAAATAATTTTAAATTTAGAATTTACTCTAACAACCTATCGAATATTTCATTATAATTTATTTACATCTAATCTAGTTGTGATTATTTTATATTACATTATATCCTTAAATTTTAGAGATCTTCAAATTATCAATTTTATGGTTTAATTTTACTTATTTATTAATAATTCCATCCACTCATTAAATTGAATATAGAGATTTCTAGGCCATATATATATTATTTCAATCTATCATTAATATGTCGTTGCCTATAAATAATATCATAAGAAATTAATAAATTATTCATCAATATAATAAAATGATTAATAGATTCAATATTATCAATATGTTTGGTCTATTTAGAGAATTTGTTCATTTTTATAAAAATATGAATATATAAAAAACTATAATTGAAATTCATTATTAGAAATAGCTAGCAGTTCTCTATTTATATAATCTATGATGTTATTTGAGATTTTTATAATTCGAAACGTCAACTTAGAAATCTTTAAAGGATTCTCTTGTTTTATATAAGAAATCATTAATTTTTTATCTAATTGTATTATCTTTAGGTGATTGTATAATATGCTGACTACATTTTTTTTCGAACATGTTTTATATTTAAACTTTTTGTTATGTAACTGTAATAGGTAAAGGATAAGTAGTTTTAGACATTCTTAAATTTGGTTTAAGTTCATGATATTATCCAAGTATTTCTTATTCCTATAATTTGAGTAAACTAAGTTATATATGATGATAAGCACTGTTTTCATCAGCATCATCTTTAAGCATATTATATTTATCTGAGATCATTTAGACTAATTAAGATTCTGATCTGATTTACTTTCTTTTAACTGGTTTAGATAATAATTCTTTTGCTTTAATAATTAATTAATCTTCTTCTTCTTGTTCTTATTATTATTCTGGTTTATAAAATAGAATCCTTGTTTAAGATAATCTTTTCTTTTCGAATGCTGGAATTGAACTTTTTTTCTTATTTAAACCCAAATGAGAAACAATATTTAGTATTCTTTTATGTCTCTCAATATTATTATCATTTGACATAATATATTTTAATTCGTTTTATGAAACTAATCAGTGTGTATTTGTTATTGATGATAGGATATTCACAATTATTGGAAAGGTATTAGATAATTGGAAATCCAAAACCAAGTTTGGTTAGTATTTTAACAGAATTATAAACTTAAATAAAATCAGGTGGAGCATAAACTACAACAATAGCATTTTTAGATAATCTAAAATCAACAATAGATGAAGAATAAATTAGACATGATTAATTATATACTTAACAAAGAAATTAATGTTCATTAGAATTAGATTTAAGAAAAAAAGACATAAAAGATGCTGAATAAGTTGGTTCTAGAGCAAATGAATAATTAGAAAATTGTTCTACATCTAATAATAAAGCAAGATCTGAATTAGATAATAATTTAGAATCTTAAAAAGTACTTTAATCAATTCTAAATAGACTACAGATAGTGATATTAAAATATTGAAAGGAATTAGAGATGAAGCATCAAGATTATTTTAAAATAAAAAAAGAGATCATTTAGATGCTTTAACATCACTTTAATAAGTATTACTTACATTAGATGGATTTACTGGAGGAGATTGTTCATTAGCTGAATTAGGAAAAGTAGCAATGACTTTTATTTAAACAGCAGTAATGGCTAAGAATGATTAACCTTTAGTAGATATTTCTGAGATATTTGCATAAGTAGCAACTGAAAATGGAGGATATAGAGAAGTATATGAAAAACTAAAGTAATTAATTGTCAATTTTGAATAAACCTTATAAAAAAATTTATAAGATTATTAAGATGTTGAAGATTTATAAATCTAGGAATATGATGATCGTAATATTCATTTAGTTGAATATTTTAATAATCTAAAAAGAACAGAATAATAATTAAGAGATCATATAACAGCTATGAGTATGTGTATTAATTAATAAACAGCTATTGTAGATACTGCAAGAGGAAAAAAGGTATATTCAATTTTTATATTTAGGTGAGAAATCTTTAAATGTTAGATTCTGTTGATAAAATGTGTAAGGATTTTTTATTAGAATATGAAAAGGCTAGTCAAGTAAGAAAGGATCAAATAGATCTTATAAATTAAGTGAAATAATCTGTATATGATTTCTACTCTTAAAAACCATAAGCAGCTTGTCCAGGAGGAGGAAGTGATTGAAATATTATAATATTATTTTTATTAAAAGTATGATAAACAAACTCAGATGTATAATAAAATAAATTGATTTCTTGTTAATTTAGCTTTGATTAACTATCAATTATGATGATTTTAATTTCATTTAATATTATAAATTCTCAATTATATAATCATTGTTTATTATTAAATTAATTTAATTTACTTATGGGAAATTAAAATTTCAAAGAATTTGACTTTTCAAATCAAACTGGTTTATATATTCGTACAGATAAATTATCTTATAATCCAGGTGAAGAAGTCAAAGGTAAATTATAAAGTATAATTAGGAAATATTTACTTGAATTTGGTAAATGATGAATAACTTGAACCTACTATTTATTTAAAAGTGAAAGGATATGAAAAAGCTAAATGGAAAGAAACTAGAACTATTTAGTAAAACATTCCTTAAACTTAACTTCTTTAAAATTAATCAAGAGAAGCTACAGAATTTTATGATAATGAAAATGTATTCTATTAACACAAAATTCAAGTTTATTAATTTTAATCAAAGTATTTGTTGAAATCATTAATAGAATGATACCCTAAGGACAATATTAATTTCCATTCGAATTCTAATTGAAATAAAATCTACCAGCATCATTTGAATATAAAGAATAAAATTTAGAATGCAGAATTAAATACAGTGTTAAAGCTGAAATTGATTCACCTAATAACGATTAAAAAAAGATTAAATTTAAATAAGAATTTCTTGTCAGAGAACCTAATAATGACAAACCAAAAGATAAAGAATAGACTTTATATCCTAAGACATGTTTTTGTATACCAATGGGAGTAATTTTAATAAAATATCATTTAGACTATTTAATTAGACTATGAATTTGATTAAGAAGATTATTAATCTAATGATATTGCTAATTTAACAGTTAAAATTAATAATTCTTAATCTAAAGTTGGTATATCTACTATCACAGGTAACCTGAAAAACACATTAAAGCTTGTGAGTAAAACAGGCCAGACTAAATTGATATCAAGAACCTGTGGAACATCCTCAATTCCAGGAATTCAAGCAGGTTAAAATAATCAAAATAATATTATGACCTTAAAATTTTAGGATTAAGGGACTAATATTCCTTTGAATCCAACTACAAATGGAAAGATTATTATGAGTAATTATTAATTTTCTGTTTCTGCAGAATTGAAAGGAATATTCTTATGTTTTGCAGAAACAGAGAGTAAAGATCTTCAAATAAGGATTCAAGGTTAGTAAATACAAAGTTATGATTAATTTGTTGCACCTACTTTTGGTTGGAACCCATAAGTTATGGAAGTAATTTATAAATTTTCTATTTAATTTAGACTTTTTCTATATATTTTCAAGATTCTAATAAGTACTATCCTTAAGATTTGATTCCAGAGTAAAATTAGAATACAGAGACTATCAGAATCCAAATCAGCCATTGAATAGATGATTTAAATAATGCATAAAATTAAATCAAAATATTATTCTTAATTCTTATTACAAAATTAGTTTCATCAGAAACATATTGAATATTACAATATATAAATATAATTATCCTTATAAGCATTAAAGACTGATCAGGTATTATTCTTATTGATATTATTCAAATAATAATAATTATTATAATTAAATTCTCATATGGGTTCTATCTGTGGAACTAATAATAAAAGAGTAATTCCAAAAACAAAGAAAGCACATTTAGGATTAAGATCTGGGCAAACAATTTCATCTTAATCTGTGTTTTAGCAACAATTAAATAAAAAAACATAAGAGATTAATCAAATTCATAAATTGGATATCTAAGATGAAGATTTAGTAAATTGGGATGATCCAATGAAGCATTGCACAAATTTACTTAAACCAAAAGGTTATAAAGTTGCAAGAATTCTAAAGACAACAAGTTCATCAATTACAGCAGAAGTTCTAGATGTAACTTAATTATGAAATAGTTTAGGGTTTTGGAACATAATTAATATTTAAACGTTCTCTTTTTGATAGCTTTGATAATGCTTCAAATAATATATCATATTTGTATAATATGAATAAGGTAAGTACAGATGGTTTGTTAAGGTTTACTTCATTAACAATAAGTCAATTTGAATCAATTAATGTTTAATTAAGACCTGATAAAACTCTTTATGCAATAGATAGAATGATACCAAAATACAATACTTTGAGTGACTCTTTAGAGAATTTAAAATTAGAATCTCTAATGCAAAGTTTACTCATTTTAGAATAAGTTAGTGATGCATTAAATTAACTACATAAAGAGAAATTTGCATATCGTTTTTTAAGACCTGAAAGTATATTAACAAAAGATGGTAAAAAGTTTCTATTAAGTAATCCATCAATATAAATAAATCATAAAGAATAAGTAAATATATATATATAAATATATATTAGAAAATAATTAAACATTTTGTTTAATAAGAAAGTGATTATTACATATATGATTGTGTAATATTTTCATTATTATTTCTATTTCTTGTTGATCATAAAATTTATACTTTTGATTCATTAATTGAACTTAGATTGAATTAAGATGAATGGGAAGGGTAATTATATATTTGTTTAATCAGTTTAGATTAGTTGATAACTATAAATAGTCAATTGCATCTTAATTTGAAAATGATGTCCCTTAAATGATAATGCAATTAATTGAACAAATGAGTGTTTTTGATAAATTTGATATTCCTAAAATGAGTGAGATTAATCATGCAATTAGAAGTGTTCGTTAAAAAGGAATGTAAACATATTTTAAAAATGATTCGCTTGGAGCATATTTATAATATCATAAAGAAAAGACATTACCTGAAGCATCTCCTTGGTTATATTTTACTAAAGCAAATTAAATTCATTTGTATAATTATGAAACTAATAAATTTCATTTTTTGAAGGTTTATAGAAAGAAATAACCATTTAAAATAGATTCTGATGTTGTTTATCATCCAGTTGAAGATAAATTCTTTTTCTTTAGTCATAATGCATCTACATTTCTATTAAAAGTTTATGATGAATCACATGATAGAGGTAGTATTAGTCAAAAAAGAGAAGTTGAATTATTTAGAAATATTAAAAATGTTAAATTTGAAGATCCATAATTATTGGTAATTAATTTTGCAACAGAAGATGATGTAAATTAAGATTAACCTTTAGAAATAATTGAAGATAAAAAAGAAATTAAAAAGGGAAATAAATAGTAATAATAATAATAATAGAATGTATTAGATTAAGAACCTAAATTATTATCAAAAATTATGGTCATGAATTAATAATAATAACTTGATGAAGCTACTTAAGAAGTTTATTTTAATTCTTTTGAAGTAGCATTTAATTTAGAATTAGTTAAAAATGATAATGAAGAAGATATTTATAATTATGGAGATGATGAATATATAACAAAAAAAGTAATTAAAATATATTAAGGACCTAAAAATTTTTAATGGCATAGAAGTTCTTTTCATTTTTTTGATCCTCATAATAATTATATATATTGTATACCTGATTATAATAATGTATTTTAAAATGGAATAAGATATTGTTATTATGATATATCAAAAAGAAAAGGAAATTTTAAAGAAGGTTTATTAAGATTTGCTTGTAGTACTGATGAAATATTTAAGTAATTTTGTTTATTAAACTTTAAAATTAAACATATTGTATATTGTATAGAAGTATAACATGGAGTATTTTTAATGTAAGCATCAAAAAACATCTTGATTTTAGATTTTAATTTTAGATGTTTTTATTCTTTAGCTTCTCTTACATAATTATAGAATTTCAAAGAAAATAATAAAGAAAATCCTATTTTATATTAGAATGCATATGAAACTAGAAATTAACCTTTTGAATTAAAATGTTTAGATGCTGGAGGACATAATTATTTATTTTAAAATGGATATTTGCATTGTTTAGCTAGAAAAGAGATAGAAACAGTTCATTGTGTATATAATATCCTTCCAAATTAAGCATGTATAGAATTATTGAATTGTTATTCCTTACACACTAATTAAGATTTACTACTTTTCATACCTAAAACCTTAAGTTTTGTTGTAAAAGCATAATAAAAATAAGTAGATGAAAGTGTGTTTAGAAGATATTCAAAAGTATAATATTATTTATTATTATTATTTAGCATGTTAGATAATATGGTGTAATTAAAGACTTGTATGCAGATCATAATGAAGCTTATTTAAGTGCTGAAACTGTAGAAGAAAAATAAAAGTTTTATTTACATCAAATCAAAGTTGACACCTTAGTTGAAGTATCTTAGTTATTCTAAGCATTTAATAAAAAGATTCAATCAGAAATTCTATTGACTCCTATTGAATATTTTGCATGTTCTGAAGAAAGTAAACAAAACTTTTATATTAGAAAACTCCTTTTACATGTATTATGTTAATGAGGAAATTTCAACTACTTTAGATTCTGAAGTTGAAAATAGAAAACTTTATAAAAATCCTTTTGAAGCAAAAGAATTAGCATTGATTGTAAAAATTATCTTTAAGGCTTTAAAAGAATTGAAAGACAATCATATGGAACATGGAAATTTATCAACTAATAGCTTATGTTTTACTAAAGCTGGAATTATTAAAATATCAGGTTGGTATGTAGCTAATAGAAAGAATTTTTCTACTGATATTGATGATGCAGTTAAAGTTTTATATTGTCTAGCTACACTATAAAGAATCTAAGATATTGATACCATGGATTTTACAGATCCTGCAATTACAGCTTATGATGGTTTAAGTGAATTTTTAAAGGCAACCTATAAATTACCTAAAAAAACACCTTATGTTAATATTTTAAATTCAGCATTGACTTTGAGTAAATAATTGACAGCATAAAATGTTGATTTCAATGATATGTAAAGTAAGGCCTAAGCAATTTTATGGGTTGGTTATGGACAGAACTACATTATAATAACTCCATTAGAAAATATGAAGGACCCTAGATTTATGAAAGTATCCATCTTAAAACCAAACTAAACTAATTTTAAAATATCTAAACATTGTATGTTTACATTCAATTTTATTGATGTTATATATATCTCTGGAGCTATTAAAGAGGATATGAAAACTTAACACCTTTATGAATGTGCATACAATAAGCACAAAGATACACAGACTGTTACTTTAAAGAGATTACCTGATATTCCAGCTCCTATATTGAGTCCATCCTTGTTATATGCTGAAGGTAAGATCTATGTAATAGGAGGTTATGAACTTGGAGATAACCTTAACAAATAAATTACTGATAAGGTCTTTGTCTATACTATTAAGACTAAATAATGGTAACATTATTATTCTAATCAATTTCATTAGGAAGTCTTTAAAAAATCTACCTATCAACATCTATGGAGGAACAGCCTTACATGATGCAGACAAAAATATTATATACTTATTTGGTGGTGTTTCAAGCGAGATTGATTTGACTTCAGACAAACTTATCTATTTTACTTATGATATATTGAAAGATAATTGGGAATTTAATGTTGATTTATCATTTAAATCCCCTTTTGTAAATTCAAGATTTACAAAACCAATTGTTGATATGGTAAGTCCAAAATTATTTATATCTTATTATAAAACTGAAGAAGACTTTTTTATAGAAGTTTTCGAACTTGTTAAAGCTGGTGTTAGCTTAAAATTTAAAATAAAGAATCCAATAGCTAAAAAGAAAAATGAAAAAGAAAATTTAGAAGCTTATGCTGAAAAAACACCTAGAGATTATGAAAGAACTTTACAAGATGATTTATCAATGGCTATTTATAAAGATTCTATTTATGTTTTAGATGAAGAAACTTAAAACTTAAATATTTTCAGAATCAAAGATGTATTTCATCCTTAAATTGATATTGTTAAATGTTAAATTAGAGATAGCAATCCAATAACTATCCATTTAGTTTAATAAGAAGCTTAATAATGAATAAACCTTTTATTTGATACAACAATTTATTCTGAAATATTACATATATTATAATTATATTATAATATCATATTATTATTTTAAAATTTATTAGTTAAGATAATATTTTATATTTATTCATTCACAAATAAAATAATATGTACCAAGTTTATTTGAGCAGGATTAACAATAATGATGAGCATCTTTACATTACTTATTTATAATATACTTAATACTCTCAAAAAAAAAGGTAAAAAAAACAAAAAGAAAAAAGGAGTTAAAAACATTAAACAGCAACAAAAACAACTTCCCCATCCTGGCTTTGATTCCACTTTTGATATCATAACAGTTTAACATTTTTCACATTTTAGAACTTAAGGTTCTCTACTATATGGTTAAGATGGTGCTAGTAAAATTACTAAATACTATCAAATAACAATACATCTATCCTCTTTTTTTAATTCTTCATCCCTGAATGATTTATTATCATCATTTATTTCATTAGGTTGATCTAATTACTTTCTTTGTTGAATCATTTCATATTACTATTATCGCTACTATATTACAAAATGTTATGACTAAGGTTATTATTGAATAGGTTATCTGAAATTATCCCTTTACTCTTAAACTTAATTCAAATTTTAGTTTATTTAAGATGCAGGTAATCTTGTCTTAAGAGGAACATCCTCTTAATCTTAATTATTTTATCTCATTTATTAAATTACAGAGACTATAGGTACATCATCACCTGTAGCCTATGCTTATATTGATATTTGGGTTTTATTTGACATAAGGATATTAATATTTCTATAAATTTTGTTTTTAGCAAAATTTATTTCTCTATTTTATACATCAGTATTAATGATACAAATATGTTAGTATTTTATATTTTGATGCTTTAAATAATTGATTTGAAAATTTTACTTTTCTTGAATATGAAATTTATCAAGAGAATTAATATATGAATAATACTAATTTAATAAAATTAATATACTTTCAACAAACTGAAATATAATTTGATTAGGCAGATAAATTTAATAATAATAATTATAATTTAAATTTCTTTACTTTTAACTTCTAAAAATTCAATTAAATTTCTGATTTAATAAATATACTTTATATTCTAATACAAACTTCTTGGAGAAACCTAAATTAAAATCAATAATTGGTTTTTTATAATTAGATTTTAAATAATTTCAAACAGTTAACATACTGAATTGGATTTTAAATTTTATTAAAAGTAGCCTGATATTTATTTATATTCATAATAACAATTATTTAATATAACCCTTTTCCAAAAATTAAATTTTTTATTAGATTGAATATAGTTAATAAAATCTTATAAAAGATGTTTAGACACATTGAATGTTATATTAATTTAGTTAATACAATATTTATAGATATTAAAATAGGATTATATATATTTAAAATACTATTCATCTTTTGGAAGTAGAACCAAAGGCAATAGGAAATTCGAGATTCAGCTTGGATTAATTGCTGATAAGATTTGAGTTATTGTCATAATATGTTGGAGAATTTTGTTTGTTTTCAAAAATGCTAACCCTTTTTGAATATTTGTCAAATCTTATAACACTTTTGATTATTGATTAATCTTGGATATTATATTATCCAACTCCAACTGAGGCATCTTAATCTATATATTTTGTTCTTCCTTTCTGTTTTCCAAAAGGTTAAACTCTACTATCTGATTATTTGAAAACACTTGGTAATTCATAGGAACCTGGACCTGGAACATCTTAAATTTTCTATAATTTATCTCTTAATAAAAAGAGTTCTAAACTTTCCAATGATTATAATTTAGGTGGATGTTTGAGATATTGTTAACTTGAAGATTTTTTATTAATAGGTGAATATTATCCTAAACAAAGTGATTGAGAATCATATAATTATTATTTTGAATATCTTTATAATTTCTATAATTTAACAAGTTTTCCCTTTTTATTAGTGGAACGTACTTAAGAATCAAATTATTGATTAAATTCATTTAGTTTATTGTCAAATCTAACTTGTTTCTTGAGTTCTTAATAAATTTTATTTTATCTAACTCTTTAAATTCCACTTGCATAACTATGCAAAGGATAATTTAAATCAACTTTTCTATCAAAAGTGAGTTAGGAATCATTTTGAGGATATGAATCATTTTTTTTATGAAAACTATTTTTATCTGGATGCATTATAGGTACTGGTTTATCTAGTTTAGTAATAATATCATAAAGTCCCACACCAGGATTAAAGTTATCTTAGTTTGATTATTTTTTCCCTTTTAGAAACATATATATAAAAATAAATAAATATATATAATAATTAATTATTTGAATTTATCAAAATATATCTATGATATATCATTGATAGATATATTAAATTAATTTAAATATGAAAATTATCAAGATTATTGTACATTTGATTTTTCTCAGTAGAGTAAATAATACTTTTCGTTATGGGAATGTTAATGATAGATTTAATTATACTATAAAATGAATTATAAATGTAATCAGATTTCAGTTGTCAACTATTTTAAATGTGTTCTTCTTCTTGGTGCTTATTGTCTTTAAGTTGGTAAATCTTGGATAACTTAATAATTATCAAATTCATCAATAATAACATGAGAGGATTAAAAAGAAACTTATCTTTTATTACTATTGATGATAGATTTAATCTTTTTGTTTATGTTTTCCATCTCTGTATTCTCCCTTTAAGTTTATATTTCTTAAAATTAAATAAGATCATCCATATTCCTTTTTTACATATTTATATGTAAAGAAAGACTTGGGATGTTGGGTAAGATTTGATCTATTTTTTATGGAGACAATCCCTTCCCAATAGCATATCTTCTTCTAACAGTCTTAGGGAATATAATATCTTCTGGTATTTCTAATTCTAAAACTTTTTCTCTCTTTTCTTCTTCAAATTTTTTTGGTTAACTATCAATTTGATTTAAAAACAAAGAAGGACAAAAAGGTTTGTTCTATCCTAAATGTTTTTATTTTCTTAATGTGATTGGAGTAAGATCAATCAAACTATCTTTTTTATACATTAAGAAATAATTATTTGTCAATATCAATTTGTAATACGACTATATATTTCATAATAAAGATTCCATAACTTTCATCATGGCTCTTTCTGCTCCTAATTCCATCCAATCTTAATTAGATATCCAGAAGTTTTTTTTATCCTTCATAACATTTGATAGGAAAGAAGCACCAATGAATACATTATATTTTCTTCTTGCAGGATCCTAAAATAAAATATTTAAATCTAAATAAATACCAAGACTTTTATTTTAATTTTTGAACTAGCAGCATATGCAGTATTTCCTTTTAATACAGTTTCTTCAAAAATAGATCTCAATTAATTCTATAATCTAGTTGGAAAACCTGGAAACATAGTAGTACCTCCACTTATGAGAATATTTTCATAAAATACTTTCCTAGAATCAATAGGAGATTTCTATTTATAATATAAAATATTAATTACTTAAATAGCATTAAATACAATATCAGCACATCCAGGTGCATCTTTACCAAGTAACCATGGAGAAAACAAAATCTCTGGAGCCATATATCTTTCTTGGCCAATCTTTACTCTACCTCCATCAGGCAATCTAAATGTACTTTCATGACATGTTGTTTCTTATGCCAATTTAGTATCCATTCTAATATCAGAACTTACAAAACATAAAGCTTCTTTTATTTCTCTTACTAATTCAAAATCAGCTGAAGAATTAAATGCATATCCTCTTTAGAATAATAATTTGACTAATTAGTCTGTAACATGTCTTCCTGCAATATTCATTCTCTAAGCTCCTTGATTCAAACAAAATCCATCATATACAGGCATACAATGTGTAACACCATCTCCTGCATCAAGTAATAAGGCTGTTCTTAAACCTTCTGCAAATAAGGGAAGTAAAGCTTATATTCCTACGTTGAGTTAAGCAAATCCAAATTTCTCAAATTTTATTTCTGCCATTTTTTCTCTATTTTTTTTTGGATTTCCAGCAGCTTCTGTCATTAATACTGTTTAACCTTTTGGATCAATGCCTAACTTTATAATTATTATAATATTCTTACTTTCTTATAACCATAATCCCAAATTAATTCCATATCATCCCAATTTTTTACAACACCTTCTTCTAAAGGATGAGTTAATTCTAATAATCCTCTATATGGTTAAGCTTCATCTCCAATCATAATATCCTAAAACAATTATTATTTCTTAATACTTTTAAGTTGGCATCATCCAATTATTCATCTGCTCTAAGTGTTGGTCTTCCTACCATAGCTGGAAATGAATGGGATGGAAAATTATCACCTGCAAATCCTATCTTTAGATATCTAACAAATATTAATATTTTTTACCCTGTTCCTGAATCTTCAATAATTGGATTAGACATTATTTTGATTATATAAATATATATATAAATCAATATAACATTTTAATATTATATATTGGTTATGATTTGATTTGATAATCTAACTTTCATATCCACATCTAATGTTAATTATAGACTATAATTATTAATTTTATATATGTAGTAATTTCTTATGCATTCAAATACTCATTAAAAAACAATATCAGAAATCAAAATGATAGAATAAAATACTAATTCACCTCCATCATAATTTCTAAGTGCTAGAACAATTAGACCATCCTTATTTTTAAATGAGGCTGATTTTCATCTACCATTAATATCTCCTTAAAAAAGATAAGTTACTGACTATTAAATAATAAAATAAACTTTACCTAAGAGCGAAGCTGTAAGTCCTGTATTTAGAAGAACTTTAATTCAATAAGATTCATAAGATCAATTTTTATTTCTTTAAAACAAAGGCAGAAAACTAAAAAAATAAAAACTATTTATAAAAGACAGTCATCGATCTCAGTAATTTTTACCTTAAATTGATGATCATACTGAAAAAAATGTTCATTATTCTACACCTAAAAATAAAATTTCAACACTAAATAGTATTCAAAATGATACTCAAGTTTTAAACTCTCCTATTGCAAAATAAAGTACTCTTAATCTAAACTATGACACTCCAATTCATATGATTGATTATAGAATTACAAAAGAAATTGATTCAAGACAACCAATTCATCATTCATCACTACCTGAATAAACTAATTCATAAAATAATATGCATTAGCCACCACATCATAAAAAAACAGTCTCATTTCGTTAATCAATATTCGTGATTGATATAAATAATGGTCAAGTTACCAAAGATTAATTATCTGAAAATTCTAAACCATTATAACACATATAAAAACCAGAAATTAAGGAATAATAGATTGATGAAGAAGATAAAAAAAATAAATTTCGAAGAACAAGAAATTTTCATTTGAGTGACAAATTGGTCTGATTATAATGAACAATGTTTTATTAAATTCATTAAAATTTTATATTTCAATTAATTAATAAATTTATTAACTGAGTTCTATTGTAATTTATTAGTATTCCTAATTCTAATTATGATATACAGATATGAAGAATTCAATTTATTAATATCTAAAATTGATGTTTAAATTAAATATTCAAAATGATTTCAATTATCTCTTTTTTTAATATGAATACTAAAAATATATTATCCACATATAACAAGATGGGTTATCAATTTTTGATTTACAAATGTTAATTACTTTTACTAAATATCTACTTTCAAATATGTGTTGAATTTACAAAAAGAATCCTAATTATAATTAAATTTTTGTGAAGAGGGAAATATAAAATATAATTATTAATTTATTTAAATTTGAATACAAATTAATGAAAAAAGGAACCAAAAAATAAAATAAAAAGTAATCATAGTTATAATCAATAGATGAATACAAAATAATTAATATTTATGGTATTATATCAATTTTTATATATATAGATATGATGGAGGATCCAGATATGAAATAATATTAAGTAATAATAAAATTAGAAGATTAATTACAAGAAAGTAGTGAAATTGTATTATAAAGCTTTCTTAATTTCTATTTAAAATTAGTTGGTTTAGATTAATGTAATCAATATTTAAAAGGAATGAATTTAGATAAAATCAATTTAGAAGAAATTATAAGCAAATTAGAATAATTATAAACAGAAAATTAATAAACTTTAATAGATGAAGAATAATGCATAAAAGTAGAGAATAATAAAAAGCTAATTCATTTTTTTGATACATTATTTTCAACATAAACAGAATTACCATTTGAATGTGATCATTTCTTTTAATATACTTTTAATTGGTTAACAACATTATCATAAACTAAATTTAGAACAGCAAGATTAGCAACAATGGAAATTATTTCAATAATAATGAATTCTATACTTAATTGTTTAGAAATTAATGGTAATATTTAAGTTTTATCATATATTTTTAGAAAATAAAGAAAAACAAAAAGAGATTCTATAATTTATAAATAATATATTTGAATACTTAGTAACAAATAGAACTTAAGATATTTAATCTGCAATTAAAAAGAAATCAATATAAATACTTTTTAGTGCTTTTTTAAATAATTCAATTCCAAATGATCCATATCATAATTAATTAGGTTATTTATTTTTAAGTGAAAATCATGAATGTAGAGAAGCATCAATGATAGAGCTTGAAAAAATATATAAGTATTTAATTGAGAGAAAAAAGTCATTATAATCTATATAAGAATTTTTGAAAGAAGAATAAGAAGCAATTTTGAGTTTAATTTTTGATCCAAATGAAAGTGTTTAATTAAGATTGATCAATTTTTTAAAAGTATAGAAAATAAAAGTTATTTTTTAAAGGCATTATCACAATCTACAAAAATTTGTTCAGATTTTTTTGGTCCAAAAAGTTGTTAAGCATTCATTCGTATACTATTTTCAAAAAATTTAAGAATTAGATATGATTCAACTTCAATTTTACATTTATTTGAAAAACCAATAAAATCAGTTGAAAAATTAGTTGAATTTTATTTAAAATATGCTCCATTTGAACTATAATCTTATGAAGAAAGCTTCAATTTTATAATATCATTTATTCATAGTCATCCATTTATTACTTCACCTGAGTAATATGCTGTATTCTTTGATTGCAATTAAAGTGAAATATTTTAGAGTTTAGGATTATATTTTTATGCTTCATTTCTATAATATGAATTTGTATATACAAAATTTTGGTGGTTAGAGGAAACAGATGGACCCCCTTAATATAATGATGCATTTACTAATTATTTTATTAACTATACAAAAGTTTCATTAGATTTAATAGATGAAGTATATTATTATATATTTATAGTAGAATTTATAATTACCATATTTACACATTTATGCAAATTTGAATTTCAAAATTATACAAAGTAAATTTATAAAAGCAATATTTGGAAGTGCATAAAAGATTTTTTAAAAAAGTTAGAATATTTAAGTTATCAATTAATTATGCAAAATGATTTATAATTGTAGTTAAGTGCTTAAAGATTCAGAGATAGTAAAAGATAATGTGAAAGAAATAATTAAATACTCTTAAAAGATATTTAAAGAAAAATTAACAATAATTACAATTTAAAAGATTGAATGTTTAATTAAGAATAATTTAGTGTATCCAAAAATAATTTTAAATCCTTTTAATTTAATTTTTGAAATAAAAGATGACAAGAGTATAATTATTATAGCTAATTTACTTGCATCAAGTTTATAAAATTATTTAAAATCTTTATTAAATTAAATGAAGAATTAAGATATTGAAACAGAAAATGATTACAAAGAAATACGTGATTCATTTTATAATTATTGTTTTTCAATTTTGGAAAATAGAAACAAAGATAGATTCCATCTTTAAATTTTACAATTAATTATAACTAATTTGATATATACAAATAATTTTAAATTATAACGTTTAGGTTTACATTAAGATATTTAATCATAAACTTATTCTTTACTTTATATGTATTTACATGAATTTTTATTTAATGAATTAATAAGACAATCTAAAAGAGAAGAAGATAATATTAATGAAATAAGAAAAAGAAATACACATTCAATAATAGATAGTTTACCTTAACTTAATATATAATAAATGGAATTACTTAATAATTCAATTAAATTAATTAATTAATGTCCTTCTATTTTATTAAATAAAGAATTTGGAATTCAATATTTAGCTTAAATATTAGAATTAATGAAAAATCATAATTATTTTAGAGATTTAAAAATATCAATTACTTAAGCTCTTTAATAATCATTATAAAAAGTAATTGAAAATGATCAAATATCAAAAAAAGATGAATTTTGGAAATTTATGAAAAATTATTCATAACTTAAATAATAATAATAATAAGATGATTTATTTAATGAATTTGTTAAATTGTGTATTAATACTTATTTAACATCAGTTACTAAATTAAATATATTTGAAAAAAGAATGAAATTTATTAATAATTGTGCAGAAATGATACAAGCAGGATTTTAAGATATTGATAATTTACATCTATTTGGATTACTTAATTTCATATTTCATAAACCTACAAAACTTTTAAAAGTGTTGTAAATAGATAAATTAACATATCAAAAATTTTATGCATTTTATGAATCTAAAAGTTAAGAATTTCATTAAAGTAATAAACCTGAAGATTTTAAAAAAGAAGCAATAAAATAAGAATATTCTTTAAGAAATAAATTAAAATACTCAAGTGGTTTAACAAAAAAAGATGTTAATAAAATTGTAAATTAAGTTTAGAAAAGTGGTTAAAAAGAAAGTCTAGATAAAACTAATAATAAATTGAGTATAGAAAAAGGAATACAAAATAATGATAAATAAAGAAAATAATAATAAGATTCTGATGATGATGAAGAAATGGAAATACCTTTTTCAAAATCTATGATTAAATGATTATTTTATGTTTACTCAAGTATCATTCAATCAATATAATTCAGAATTTTTAGGCCCTGAAAATTTATGTTCCTCAGATAAATTTTTCATTTTCTCCTTGCCTAAAAGTTTTTCCAATAATGAATCAAATTCATTTTCTTTACTTATCATTGTTTTTCTAATTTAAAATTATTTCAATACTTATTTAACAATTTATCAATGATCATGTCTATAAATCCTTTAATTCCTTATTCTTATGATTTTTCAGTCTCTATTAAAAATAACAAAAACATTCTTATTTTATCAGTAGTATCCTTTCTCATTAATACATCATTGAAAGCATATGCAAAAGCATTTGCAAATGCAGCTCTAAAGCTTGGGTCCATACCTGCATTTTTTAAGATTTCTGCAACTCTCAAATAAATTTATAATTTACGCTTCATTAATCTCTGCTTCTTATGATAAAGATTTACAAAATTCTTTCACTTCATATTTAAATATTGGATCATTTACTACTTGTATTATTAATTTTTGAGTTTATTCTTGAATTTATTTATCTTAAACTAAATCCAAAACTAATTTCTTTCCAAAAACTTTTGAATCCTCTAAAAATGAAGGATCCTATATAGATTATTTCAGTAAAGTAACAATGCTATCTTAAACCTATTATTGTTTTCCCAATCTTTATACAAAATCTACAGATTCTTATTATACAACAGGATCTTTAAGAATTGTTTAAACTTCAGTCTATTGATCAAAATAAGTATACTTTAACAAAACTATTAATAAAGACTTAGAATGGTTATCCTGGTCCTAATTCACTCTAAACTGTTGAAACAAATGAATTTCTAATTGTTTGAAACATATCCTTATAAATAGGATAAGTTATTAATGCAAAAAGTGTAAGCATTTTTCCTTTATGTGGTTACAAAACTAATTTTACATTGGCCCATTCTTATTCAATCTCAAATGATTTTTAAAATGTCTTAAAAGGATGTCTTATTGGTTAATATATTAATGTTAGGAATTTCTTAGTTTTATTAAACATTATATAAAATTAAATTAATATATATTTCTACAACTTTATAGTCACAAAAATAGAAAATAAATAGTACAACTTTTATTTAATAATATTGCTATTACAACATTTATCTATAATTATATTTATTTAAATTCATAAGATAAACTTATAATTTAGGGAATAAAAGAAAATTTTTTCATAGATTCAATATAAAATAATAAATCTATACAGTATTTATCTTAATAATGTGTGATAATTCAATTATCCTATCTAACTCTTCTTCCTTCAACCCATTCAGCTTCAACTTCTCTTGCTTCCCTATCAACCAAAATTCCTCTTCCATGTTATTTTCCATCTTTCCAATATCCTTTATATTGTTTACCATCAGACCACTTGAAGATTCCATAACCTTCCTTTTTATCTTCAACATAATCCCCTTAAAAATAAGTATATCTATTACCACTATATTACTTTCCATCAGGCCAGTTAAAGTCTCCTTTACCATGCATTTTATTATTTAACCATTATCCCTTATATTTTCTACCATCAGCCCAAACATACTCTCCAAAACCTATACTTATAATATAGAATTAATACCTTCAATATTGTTATCTCGAAAATCGCCTTCATAAGTTGCGCCGTCACTCCATTTAAATTTACCTTTCCCATCCTTCTTTCCATTAACATAACTTCCAATATATTAAGCACCATCTGGCCACATTTCAGTTCCTTTACCGTGTTATTAATCTTCTAACCAATCTCCTTCATATCTGGCTCCATCAACATGATAATAAGTTCCTTATCCCTATGCTCTATCATCAACCCAATCTCCATCCTAAAAGTTTATTCATATAATTACATAAGCATCTCCATCTGCATGAATCAATCTTCCCTTTCCATTAGCTGTATGAGAACTCCAAAATCCTTCATAAACGGATCCATCTGGCCAATACTATTTGCCTTTTCCCCATCTCTAATGGTTTTTCCATTGTCCCACATATATAGCTCCATTCTCAAATTGCTAGAGTTATCATCTGATTATTTACATATGGTCCTAACTCAATACAATCATGAAAATGTTATAAAGATGTTTGATCATAATGATAATTTCCAAGTTTTTCAAGAGTTTTACGAACCTATTCATTTTCGATTAAAGGATCTTTATCATATGGCTTTGCATCTTCAGGGTTTGGGCCATGAGACGAAATCTGTTACCTTTATTTTTCCCTTAAAGCCTTAATATATTGAATTATAATACATCATCTGGAGGATTTGCACTTTATTGAGGCTCATCAACTTGAACCGGTTAGGATTCTTCATGTTTAATTGGCTCTTTCTCTTAGTATTCATTTTTTGCTTCTGTAGGTTTTACTGTTTCCAAATGTTCATTTCCTTCAACAGTTGCATCAAATTTAGCAGGAGCCGTAGGAATCTCCTAACTTTATGGTGTTCCAGTACAACAAGTAGCTCCCATCACTTAAATATTTTTTTAATAATATTAATAAATCGAAATAAGAAACTCTATCCTTAAATAGCAATTCAAGGATGTCATAATTTAAAATCTTAGAGTTAAAGGATCAATAGATTCAAAGGAACCTCACAGTCACTTATGTTAATCAAGTCAATATTAATAATTTTGTATTTAAAATGTCTAACATATATATATATATATATCTAAACTTAAACTGAAAATTAATAATTTATTTACTTATTAATTTAAATGTGAATAAATTCTGTCAATTTATATATAGGTAGATTTATTCAAATTATTAATTTTTTAGAATCTAAATCATTTAAAATATAAGTATTTAGTTTAATAAAATTACTTTAAAAAATCTTATTCTATTTAAATAATTATTTATAAAATTCTAATATTGAAGCTTAAACTTATATATAGATATAAAAATTAAATCATTAAAGCAAATGATTAACAAATGATTTGATTGATGTCAGCTTTTTTGCAAGTTCAGCTAATAACTGTCTTTTTTTTGGCAAATTTATAAATAAATAATCATTTAGTTTGATAGCTTCCATTATTCCAAAACTAATTATAAAATAATTTTATATACATTTATAATTGATTTAAATTTGGATTACTTAAAATAAACTAAATATATTTTGCAAACCAATAAGGAGGAATTCTTTGTTATTTTAAATAATTTAACATTTTCTCTATATCTTCATCAATATAAACTTTATAATATTCAGCCTCATCATGTAGAAAATCCTAATATTCTTGTAATAATAATCCAAATGTATTTTTGAAATTTTCAATATTTTCAATTATGTATGAAAGTAAACTATAAACTTATTATTTTAGACAATCCTATGAAAAATATTTCTAAAATTCTTTTGATAACAATTCATTTTATTATTAAGGACTTAATTTATGGAATTATTCAAATGCAATATTTGTAATAAAATCTTTATCAAAATTAAAATTAATTAACAATTATAAAAAGTTACTTAAAGAATCTCCTTAAGAATTGATTATGTTTTAACAAACTTGAAAAATAAAAGAATTAAAATAATCCTATCGTCTTAAAATACTTAAAAGTTGAATCAAATATTATAATTTTGTATTTCTATCTATAAATTCTTCTTAAATTAACTTTACAATTTCTTCTATTTATTCTAATAAAACTTATTCATTGTTTGGATCAACATCCAATAAATCTGAGATCATAAGTGCAATTTTGAAATAGCATTCAGATCTCAGAGAAGCTTACTTTAAATCATTTGTTTTATTTAAGAGTGTGAAAAGGGAGTCTTTAATAAGTTAAAGGAATTAGAATATATTATTTTTAGATGTAATATATTTAATGATTTCGATAATGAATTTTTTACCAATTCTATCTATTTCGTCATTCATATAACCGCAATTAAGTTCATAAAATTTTGGTTTCCAAATGAAAGGTTTATTGATTCCAAAATTAATACATCTATTCATTTTTAGATAGATTTCATTATGTTTACTCATGACTTTATAAAATAATTCAGCCCTAACATTTAACCATAAATCTTCATTAAATTTAGAAATCCCACTTTACCATTCAACACTTTAACATGTTGCCCATAAATATAATTTATTATTATCATAAGGTGCTCTTTATGTTGCTTTGTAGAGTAATTCAAGAGTAAGTACCCAATTTTCATTTTGATATTTTGATAATTTCATGAAGTCAAATAATTTATCTCCAGTTCCAAAAGGCTGCAAAGAATTCAAAATACATTTCTCTTCATCATTTAAATATTAATTCACTTCATCGTAATTATTAGATAAAATATGATTCCATGCTTTATCTTATGGTGACATTGAATCTCTGATTGTTTATTATCCAATACTTTAATGCGCCCATTAACAAATTTTATAGAGAGTGTCATGTTCTTAAATTAGATCACTAATAAATTATGAGTCAGTATATTAGGTTACTACTAAATTATGCTCACTATCATAATCATGCTAAATTTTGCAGTAAGTGCATCTTCTTGGAAATGGTTAATCGTTACCTCTAATTTAAGTCAGATTTTAAATGTGTTCTAAATCACTTAATAATTATTTAAGCTAATAACCTACAATTTAACTTGAATAATTATTTTCTTGATGATTATGACTTATGCTCATTTAATTATTTTAAATTAATCAAAAATAATTTTAGTTAAAAAAGTAATAAACATATAATTAATTAGGAAATATATAAAGTATCAATTCTATTCATTTATTAAATATAAGAATAATAACAAAGAACTATATAATAATATTAATAATAATAATAATAATAATAATAATAATAATAATAATAATAATAATAATAATAATCTTATACCTCTAATATATTTGTATTTATGTTAATTAATATATTTTCATATATTATTAAAATTATTAAATAGAAATGACCTTCTTAGTTTATATATTCAAACATATTTTTAAATTATAAATTACTTAAGTGAAGGTTGAGCATACTAAATTTATAAAGATTGTTTAATTTTTATTGGAATAGCAAATAAAAACATATATGCATTTAGGGAATTATGTGTTGTAAAAAAAGATAATTGATAAAATTAAATTTATGAAATAATCATAATAATCTTTAAAAAGCATTTCCAATATCAGAACCCAATACTATTTATCCTCTTCTTTAGTGGGTTCTCAAAATGCTCAAAAAATCAATAAAGGAAAATCAACATATATTGATGATACGAACAAGAGTATATAATTAATTCTTATATTGAAGCAAAAGAAACTAATTATTAATTAAATGAAAAGAGTAAATCTCAAAGTATAGTTACTTATAAGAAAATAAATATTAGTAGAGATAATCAAAAATCTGATGATTCTCAAATATTACCTTAATTTAAGAAAGACATACTAAAATCAAGATAATCTCAATAAGTTATTCATAAGACAAAGTAGTAATAAAGATCTGACTCTCCTTTAATTCCTATTGATAGTTTACCTTAAATTTAACCATCAAAAATTTCAACCAAAAATGTTGGTATAGTTTCTGCCTATGCTGCAAATACACATTAAGGATTAGTAAGAACTTACAATGAAGATAGAGTATCAATAATACTTAACTTAATGAAACCTGCTTCAAATACATTTGCTGGATAATGGCCTTAAAGTTCATTTTTTGCAATTTATGATGGTCATGGTGGTGCTGCATGTGCTGACTATATGAGAGATAATTTACATTAATATGTAATTTCTTTATTTAATGTAGATTATAAGAGAAGATTGTTTTCCATCAAATCCAAGATTAGCTATATCGAGAGGTATAGAAAAAGCTGAAAAAAACTATCTTTAATTAGCTGATCAAAAAGTATTAGATAAATCTGGTTCTTGTGCTGTGATAGCCTTGATTGTTGATAAAGCTATTTATATTGCCAATATTGGAGACTCTCGTGCAATAATCTCTCATTAAGGCAAATGTTCATCTATTACTGTTGATCATAAACCCTCTTAAGAAAATGAACAATAAAGAATTACTAAACTTGGTGGATAAATCTATTAGGCTTAGATTTAGGTTTCAAATGGTGATATTTAATTTGGTCCTTATAGAGTACTACCTGGTAGACTAGCTGTTTCAAGAACATTAGGAGATGCAGAAGCCAAATTACCAAAATATGGTGGAATTCAAGGAGTAATATCAGCTCAACCCGATATTTTTCAAATCTCAGTTACTGATTAAGATTTTTTGATTTTGGCTTGTAATTTTAATTGTAGATCAAAGGTGATGGAATATTTGATAAAATGTATAGTGAAGAAGTCATTTAAAGTGTTTGGACTGTGATCTCGCAAGATGTTCATCATTTTGCTGGAAAAGCAGTTGAAACAATTATGAGACAATCCATGTCTAGAAAAACCGTAGATAATGTTACTGTTGTATTCATAGCCTTTCCATAATTAGAAAAAAAGTTTAAAAAACAATAACANTTGAAGCAAAAGAAACTAATTATTAATTAAATGAAAAGAGTAAATCTCAAAGTATAGTTACTTATAAGAAAATAAATATTAGTAGAGATAATCAAAAATCTGATGATTCTCAAATATTACCTTAATTTAAGAAAGACATACTAAAATCAAGATAATCTCAATAAGTTATTCATAAGACAAAGTAGTAATAAAGATCTGACTCTCCTTTAATTCCTATTGATAGTTTACCTTAAATTTAACCATCAAAAATTTCAACCAAAAATGTTGGTATAGTTTCTGCCTATGCTGCAAATACACATTAAGGATTAGTAAGAACTTACAATGAAGATAGAGTATCAATAATACTTAACTTAATGAAACCTGCTTCAAATACATTTGCTGGATAATGGCCTTAAAGTTCATTTTTTGCAATTTATGATGGTCATGGTGGTGCTGCATGTGCTGACTATATGAGAGATAATTTACATTAATATGTAATTTCTTTATTTAATGTAGATTATAAGAGAAGATTGTTTTCCATCAAATCCAAGATTAGCTATATCGAGAGGTATAGAAAAAGCTGAAAAAAACTATCTTTAATTAGCTGATCAAAAAGTATTAGATAAATCTGGTTCTTGTGCTGTGATAGCCTTGATTGTTGATAAAGCTATTTATATTGCCAATATTGGAGACTCTCGTGCAATAATCTCTCATTAAGGCAAATGTTCATCTATTACTGTTGATCATAAACCCTCTTAAGAAAATGAACAATAAAGAATTACTAAACTTGGTGGATAAATCTATTAGGCTTAGATTTAGGTTTCAAATGGTGATATTTAATTTGGTCCTTATAGAGTACTACCTGGTAGACTAGCTGTTTCAAGAACATTAGGAGATGCAGAAGCCAAATTACCAAAATATGGTGGAATTCAAGGAGTAATATCAGCTCAACCCGATATTTTTCAAATCTCAGTTACTGATTAAGATTTTTTGATTTTGGCTTGTAATTTTAATTGTAGATCAAAGGTGATGGAATATTTGATAAAATGTATAGTGAAGAAGTCATTTAAAGTGTTTGGACTGTGATCTCGCAAGATGTTCATCATTTTGCTGGAAAAGCAGTTGAAACAATTATGAGACAATCCATGTCTAGAAAAACCGTAGATAATGTTACTGTTGTATTCATAGCCTTTCCATAATTAGAAAAAAAGTTTAAAAAACAATAACAATAATGATTCTTTTTATTATTCAGCTATTGCAATAATTTAATTATCAATATATATATACATATAATTTAAAAATATTTATCTTAATATAAAATATTTTAAATTTATTCACTAGTTATGTTTCTTAGATTAATTATTGATTAAAAGAATTGTAAATATGTTCTAAAAACTTATTATGCTATATTCTTACTTGCATTATGAATGAAAATTTTTGTTTTTATTTTGTAATAAAAATATTTTCTATATTATATTTTTAAGAATTATTTATAATATAGATAATTAATATTAAAACCTAATAAAAAAATTGATCATTATGATTTTAGTTTGTTATAAAAAAAATAATAATTTTAGATAAAAAATTGATTTTTATAAAATTATTATGCTAAATTTAATGGAATAATTTTAATCTATAAATAAAATAATATCCCCTACTTGGTTTATTTATTAAATAAATTAAATGAATTTTTATTTTGAATACTAGTTTCTGTAATTTAGAGACAAGAATAAATATATAACTCTTGATTATAATTGATTATGATAATAATAATAAATGTAGTTTTGAAATAAAAATTCATAATTAACTTAAAACAATTCCATTTTTTTTAATGATTTTCTTTAAGAGCAATAATAATATTAGTTTATATAATTTTTTAAAATGAAAGATTTAGTTTAAATTTAATAATATAATATCATTAAGAGTTGAATTGATATATTACTTATTGTTTTGAATAAATAAAAGTGAAAGTGAAACATAAATCGAATTTATTAAGAAATTAAAATTTTGTAAAAATTGATTGAAAATCCATACTCTTGATAAGTAATGAATTTTCAGTACTAATTTATTACAAATAAGTTGAAAAATTCTAGAAATAAATGGAGAAAGAATCAGAATCATAAGGAAATGTATATTTAAGATATTAATAATAATACAGATCAATTTATATCTGGAAAAAATGTTTACGATTTAAATTTAAGGAGTAGATTGTTATTACTAAATAAATTTTTCAAGGATTTAGTGCTTCTGCTAAATTTTTTACTTGACAATAGTTGCTAATTTTTTTTTTCATAATATTCTCTTATATCAATAACATATTAATGAAAATTAGTAGTATTAATCCGTTTTACTTCTTATGGTTTCATAGATTCAAAGAATCTCTATCTAGTAACTAGCATTTAATGTTGAAGTTCTTTCTTTTTCTTAAAATCCCAATCACTAGAACTCCAATATCTAAGATGAAGATGATTATTTTATTATGCCATTTAATATTTTATTAATAATAATATTAAAATGAACATATAATTTTCAATCTTTTTATAACACAACTACCCAATTAGCATGATCATAATAATTATTTACTATCTTAAAGCCTGGCATTTCTGATAATAGTTCCTCTATCTCACCTTATTTAAAGACATGATAATATCGCTTATACACAACTGTCTTTTTTTGATCGTCAATTTTAAATTATTATTACACTATTATTTATAATTAATATGAAATACCTTCTTAATTGATGACTTTCTCATCTTCATATTTAAATTATAAATTCCAAGGTACAAATACATCTTATTCATTAAAAGTCTTTTCCTCTTATTCCATAGCCCAAACATATATTAATATTAATCCTTTAGACTTACAAATCCTTAACAATTCTCTGATTGCTTATTATCTGAGAATTCTATATAATTATTTAAATTAAAATCATTACTTATTTGAGAAATGATGAATGACTGCAATTGAGATTACTGCATCAAACATTTCAGATTTTAAAGGTAATCTTAAAGAATCAGCACTAAATACTTAATAAGCATCAGATTTCTCTTTACAAATTTTCAATAGATTTTCACTTCTATCTGTACCTATCATTTCAATATCTGGATTTGAACCTAAATATTTTCCATTTCCACATCCAACATCAGCAACAAGAGAACCAGGTTCTAGAGATTTTAAGAATTGTTCTATTTTAGGCCAAGGTTTATAACGAGTTGAACTAAAATGAGGTGCAATTTTTTCATAAATCTCATAAACATATTTCTTTTCTACTTCTGTAGCTTTAGGTATTTATAATAATTATTATTATTAATCTTAAAGTAATTAAATTTCTTCTTGAGTTTTATTTGGAACAACTTTATTGTCTTATTAAATTCCAATTTAATTCAATTTTGCTAAATATTCTTGTAATAATGGATTTTTATTTTTCATTGTTTATGGATTGTAACCCTATGATTCACAAAAGAATTTATATTAACAATCACATTTTAAATCATTTCTTATTGTTCTAAATGTCAAACTTAATCTTCTTGATCTAAAGTGGGTTTCACCTTCTACTTTATCTATTTTTCTTGATGCAATAGAATGAAACCAAGCAAATCTCACTTCTCCTGTAAATAATGCACAAGATCTAGGAGGTAAATATAAATGTTATTCTTCTCCTTTGAAAGATTTAAATGTCATTACTAAACCACTAAGTAAACTTATAGAAACAAATTTTTCATGAAATGGAGGATGAACATCAAAATGAGGTGGAATACCCATTCCTGGTAAATATTCATTAATTGTAAGTTGATTTATTTCAGCTTGAGGTTTTATTAAATCAGACACTTTTGATCTAACATCCTCAAGAAAATCAGGTATAATTTTATCTGCTGGTTTATTAACATTAACTGTATTATCTCCATAAATAAATTCATATCCATAATGTTAAACTCTTCTTTATTTTAATTTAGACCATTCTTATTTATCAATTAAATCCATAATATATTTTTCATATTCTGGTGTTATGAAATCATGTATTAAATATAATCCTGGAATATTGACTTGTCTCATTGCATTTGGTATATCACACATACCTCCTCCATTTAATTCTTATTAATTTGTATAAAAAAACATTGTGGCTCTTTCTTTATTTGGATACTTTAAACTTGCATATTTGATATTCTCAAATATTTGTAAAGACTAAGTGGCAAATAACTTATACTTAGATTAATTATAAACTCTATTAGATATTTTGGAATTCAATAAATGCATAATTTCTTACAGGATATATCATTACTTTGTTCTATCCAAATTATTTAACAAAATTGCATATGGTATTATAATCATCTTAATCACCTACTCCAAAATGAACTGCTATTAATTTATTTGTAGGTTCCTATGAAACTAATTCATCAAATGGCTTCTTTTCAGATTTAGTAAGTGTCTTTATTAAATTATTATATGTACTCCTATAGCTATTGCTAATTTCTTATTCAATTTTATTGTTGGATTGCGTACTTTCTCTCTTGCATCTATGGCTATATCTAAGTCCATTAATATTTTTACAAAATCAATATAATTTATATATTAATTCTTTCTTTAGTATGGTATTAAAAAATTATATATATCTATTTTAAGTTTAAATTTAAGATAAATATAAAAGAATTACTAATAAATTCTAATTTACAAATACTTAAAATAATAATTTCTTATTACAATATCATTATCTAATAATTTTATATAATTTGTTACTAAATAAAGAGTAAATTATTAGATAATCTATATGAATTATTAATAATAAATGAAATCTTTATCAATTGCTAAAGCAGGATTATCTTGGCTAGTCTCTTTAATTGACTACAGATCTTGGAACATGTCCTGCATATCCTGGTATTTTTGTATGACTATTATTAATAATAATTATACTAATTTTCTTTTAAATTAGTTTTCATAAAATCTGTTCTTGGTTCAGTTCCATTTCCATGTTCCATAGCTTTTGAATTAGTTATAATTGATGGTATGAATCCTGTATATCCAGGTATATGCTATGCTTCTTATGATGTTCCCAGTCTTAATTCATCAAATGCTCTTGGATGAGTTTCATCTAATTAATTTAATCTATCTCTAGGATTCTCTCCTATTTATCCATACTATTTCTTATATTCTGAAGGTCCAACTTTCCTATTATTATTTACTATTTATATTACGTTTCCACTACATAAGGTGGTCTATTTAAACTCCATTCAGGTGGCATTGCTCTATTTTTTGCATATGGATCAACAATTGATGCTTAATATGTAGATTTCCAATGTTCACAACCAGTCTTGAGTAGAGGATTCTCTGGTGTCATAGCTGAATTTCCTGTTTTTTAGAAAAAATCACTAGAAGTTGCACTCTCCAAACGTGCCTATAAATAATTTAGAATATCATTTTCTTACTTTATTGGCCTTATATACATTTTTATAATGAGGGGGTTATACTGTTGAATCAAGTGAAACTTATTTATTTGAATAATGATAGTTGGAATTCTTGTAAAAGCTCTCTTTATCTTCATTTCTAACAGCTAAGTTAATGTATTAAACATATTTACTTTGTTCCCAAATTTGATTAGAGTCTAAAGTACGTTTACCTGCTTTAAGAGATGGGTATGGTAAATCTCCATATGATTAAAATGATGCATAACCAACAACTTTAGGAATCATAAATTTTTAATAATATCAAAATCATCTCTCTATAATTAATCAAAATAACTCTTAATATTTTATTTGATACTTCCACAACACATTTTCTTTATTTCTGAATCATCTTTTATATTGGCTTTTTTTGCAATAGTCAAACAATCTTGTAATTTATGTCTTTCCCATTCCAATTTTAGCATAAACACTTACCAATTACGAAAAAGGGATTCAGAACATTTCTCATACTATTCTTAAGCTTCTGAATCAATCAAGCTTTCATTTATACAATTATGTTGTCTTTCTTATTCCTATTTCTTATACTTTCTAGCATTTTCCAAGGTCTCATTAGTAATTTCAGACCAATATTCCATTTACCAATTATAAATTTTAATTATACTATTTTTTTTAAAAATTAAAGGAAATGATTTAATCATTTTCTTTTAACACTTCATATCGAACAATCTTAAAGTAGCAAATATTATAAATACAATAATAAAGGTTGATTATTGATTAAAAGATCTTATTACAGTAATAGAAATTGAAAATGTTATCAAATTAGATTTAAAAAAATTGTTCATCAAAAAGAAAATCAAATTATCTTGAATAATAATATTTTAATGAAAGTTGGATATACAAAATGATATTTTGTAGTTTTAGTGTTTAAAGATAAATATTTTAATATTTCAATTTTCTTCAATTGGAATTAGAGAATAATATTTTATGATAATAAAAATTATCAAAAGGATTTGATTAATTCATTTATGAGAGAATTTTTCAAAAAAAAATAAATAGGCTTTGAAGTCTAAATTTAATTAGAAAATTATTCTTATTGAAGTTTTTCAGCTAAAGAATATTAAAGAAGTATAATTAAAAAGATTTTATTTATTATTAAATTTGAATTCACAAAATAAAAATTAAAATATTGTGAAATGATTTATAAATATAAATTAATTAATTGAAGTCTATTACATATTCATATAATCAAGATAATATAAAAATAATAGATAATTCTCATTTAGACATGTACTTATTTATTAAAATGATGGTAATAATTTTTAATTAGATGATAATCAAAAACACTATTTTAATATTATTTATTTTGAACAGTAATATTGTATTCTCATTATCTATAACTTATCATCTTCCCTTTCCTTCTAAAATAGTTTTATCTTTATTTGGATTTTTTCAAAGTGTGATTTATAAATAAACCATAACAGTTATCATTAATGTTACTCGTTTAGAGGTCTTCTTTAGAATTTTGAAAAAAAGATCCTTTGAGTAATTGAGGCTTAGTGCATTTAAGTTAACATTAATGATGATTGATAAATTATTGAAAAGTTGAATGAAATAAAACGTATATCATAAAAAATTTGTATCAATCTAGTTATCTTAAAATGTCTTCTTCAACTGAATTTATGACTTCAAAATGAACTCCATTTATCATCACATTGAACTATCGATGCGGATCTAATGTAATAAAGAAAGATACTTGTTGGATCATATTCACTATATTCAATATTAGGAGGTCTTTAAGGAACAAATTTTGGTTGAGTTTTTGTATCAATACAATTCTGAGAATATGAAATTATCTTATTTGAAAACTGACTCACAGGAGTTGTGGCAGTATTTTAACTATTTAATTTACTTTTTCTTGTTTAACAAATGCCCATCTCAAAAATAATTAATTTATTAATCAAAATCATTTTTATAAAATAAAGATTATATAATAATAATATATATCATTATTAAATAAATTGCGATACACATTATTCATCTATCAGATATATAAATCTTAATAATTTCTTTATTTTCTGTTTAGAATAATTTATAAAATATTAATCTCAGTAAAATTTTGAATTTCTCATCTATTTTTATATAATATTACTTTTAGTTAATTCCAACAATATCGCTTATGATATATAAATAATTAATGATTGGAAATATATATATAAGATATTTATATAAAAAGGCAATTAAGAATATAAAATTACAGAGTCTTTTAGAGGTTTTAGAGTTTCTGAAATTTTATTTTATTCAATTATTTATTGGTTAAGATCTACAGCAACCATTCAAAAAAATTAGAAATAGAGAATACTCAAAAAGGTATATCCATATCTATTACTAGATATAATATAACACATATAATTTATAAGAAAATCCTCAGAAATCTTCATGGGTTAAGTATAAAATCATAAATTTTTAGTGGATTATATAATTGAGGCTTAAATGTACATTCTTACATAACTTTTTACTCCTACTCTTATTTCACTAACTCAAGTTTCTTAAATAAAATAAGAATAATTACATTCTATTGTTATTTTGGACAGGATTTAACTATTTTCATAGAATGATTACATAATGTAGGCTATTTTTAATAAAATCTTTTACTTAAAAAGTACATTATTCGAGATCTAGTATTTTTTTTTGTCTTAATCCATTTATTAATTTATTTTTATCTGATACATTTAAAGATTATATTAATCTATTAGCTGCTTCAATAAATGATTCTAAATCTAAATGTGCTTAGATTGATTCCATTTCACATAAAAGGGGTGCCAATATTTATAATATTTCTGATTAAATACCAGATATTTCTATAGAGGATGCCGAAATTTATCCATCTCCATCTGAATCAAGTAAAGTGAATATTTCTTCAAGAACCTTTCTTTTTTTATCCTCATAAATCTAGTTTGATTTTTCTGAAGATTTTGCCAAAGAATTAATAAGAGATTATTTTTATTATTCAATTAAATAATTATGATGATCTTCTTACACAGTTCTCATTTGAAATAGATAATCTCCAATTGGAAGATTAGAGTTATTTCTCTATAATAAATTGTTTAAATAATGATTACATCATTGTTAGGTGGTCTTCCTATAATTGGACGATATAATTTTTAACCAGTTGTTATATCATGTGTAGGTTCTTCAGTCATTACAGTTTCTTCTAATTTTCTTTATCTTTTCTATATTGATATTTGCATTCTTTCTAGAAATGGTATATCTGAAGGTTTTCGTTTTAAAGGAGACATCATATAAGATTAATTAATCATTTGGCTAGCTTCTTTCTTTTTCTTTATCGAATTTAAACCTTATTAATATAATCTATCATGTATATGAGTTTTTTAAGCACTTGAATAATTTCTTTCTTTTTCTTGAGTAATCTTTTGGCTTCTAATCAAAATTTTTAAACTAATTTTACATAGGATTGATAGTAGGTTAAAATGAGCATTATTAATTCTATTCAGCCATTCTACTGCTTCTTAATTATTCTTTTCTTTATGCCATTTGCTTGCCTTGCATAATCAAATAATCTTAAGTAGACATATTTGGTCTTTTTGCTAAAGACAAACTTTTCTCACTTATATATGGTTTGAATGAATATAAAATATCTTATTTAGGTTCTAAGACTCGACTTTGCTTTGATTTTAAATACAACTATTCTCCAGGATTATATGCTAATGTTTTTTGAGGACTGAAAGTTTAAGATAAACTGTTTGTGATAAATTATTATTATCTTTTTTGGGTCTTAACGGCAGCTTCATTATGTAATCGATCGAAAATGCTTTATTTAGAACAATGACTATCTTATAGATTACTGATTATAGTTTATTCAATTAAAATAGACGCCTCTTCTCTTAATTAATGTTTGTTAACAAATTCTTTTGCAATCATAGTTATATCAGAATCATCATATACATGCAATGTTTCCTTAAATCCTATATAGATTAACATACTTTTTTCTTTTCTCCAAGATCAAATACTATTTAAAGTACCTCTTATTTCTATTTTCCAGGTGTTGACAGACCTCTTGATTGCATTAATTTTTAATATAAATTATCAGTTATGCGCAAATAAAATATTATATCATTTACTAGAGATTCAACTCAACAACCATATATTAATAGATAATGATATTTTCATATATAATTTACATTAATAACCAATTTGAGTTTATTTCAAGATAAAAAAATGAATAAATCTATTTAAGAAATCAAGGATTGCGTTATTAGATCGAAATAAACTAAATGTAGATTTAATAATAATAATTTCTAATAGATTCTACTAAATTGAATTAAATGGCAGATATTTAATTTAAAATTTACATTCAATAAAAATTACATTCTCTATTCCAAATAATAATTTAAACTTGAATATTGAATTAATATTTTTATTCTAATTAAAAAATTAAATCAATTTTATAGTGAAAACTAGAATGGGTAACTTGGTTCTTCATTTAGCATTAATAAAATGGTTGTTTTATTACCAATTTTTAACATTTGTTATTTTTTAACTAAAGTTTTGATAACTGTTAAAATAGCTGTATCTGCAAATTCATTAATCTCTTTTCCATAATATCTTATATATGGTTCTGAAAAATGTTCCAGATTAATTATTATTGTAGAATCTTTGAAGCTCTCACTAAAAACAGCATACATTAGTCTTATAAAATAGGTTCTTATCATTGAAACCTTGCCTTCTGATGATGTTATTATTTTATAATTTATCTTTTTAAATTGAAATAATTCTTTTAATCTTTATAAAATAGGATCAATTATAAATTCTTATTATTTGAACTAATTATTTAAGATTTTGTAATTCAAAATTTATTTAAAACTATATATCCTTAATAAATGTAATTGATTTAAGTTAGAAGATCTTAATGAAATTGATAAATTATTTACTATACATTTAAAAATTTTGAATTATATGAGTCTCTCTTTTTCAAATATCTTAAATAAATAACATTTTAATTTCTCTTATGCTTGATGGTTATTCTCAAATTTTATTAAAAATGTTGGTTATTAATAACTAAAGAAACAGATTGTTATCATTTTTTTTTATTTAGTACCTTTTTTGATCTCAATTTATTTGTTATAAGATTTGATTTCCTGAGATTGTTTTCGTTTTATCTCTGAAAAACAAAATTATTCAAGACTTTACTATTTATAATTCCATTCTCTTAAAAATATTTTCAAATTTTCTGAATTCTCACAACAAAATTCTTATTATCGTGATGAAATTAATGAAAATTTTAAATGACTATTTTCAAATTGAAATAAGATATAAGACTTATTTACTATAATTGGTAAGATCTATTCCATCAAATTATCCTTTAAACTTAATAAAAAGAAGCTACGACTTTCATAATTCAACTTACGAATATAAAAAATTAAAAAGCAAATAAGTAAAATTGTAGCAAAATAAACATTATATTGTGGAATATTAGCTTCAAATATTGCAATACCCAATCTAATTAACATTGTAGTAATTACTAGAAATATTCCTTAAAATACATCTACTGCCAAAATTATCACAAAGTTACAAGCTACAAAATTATTAGCAAATAATTGATGGGCTTCTTATGATATAGTATTTGTTAACATATATTAATATGCTAGAAGTAAATAGTTTAAAATCACTAAACAAGACTATACTAATGAAGGTTTCCACTTTATTAAGAAAATCGATAAGATGAGATAAATTTATGTTGCAATTATTATGCTTAAATTATTCAACTAATTATCCAAGATTTCTGTAATCATTTTTGTCATACTTATAAAAAACAACCCTATAGCACTAAAGATATAGACTGGTTTTCTCAATTAATTAATTTTCTATTCTTAATATTCTTTTTCGGATCCTTTATCTAAAAATATTAAACTATATTTTTTCATAATTCTAATATTATTAATTTAATCGTTGACCTTATTTTAATCAAATTTAAATATTAACATTTTATAATATGAAGATATTACAAATAAAACTTATTTTCATTTAAAAATAATATTTATATAACTAAATCTAAAGAGAAAATACATCTATTTTCAACAATGCCTAATCCAATATTATAAAATTATAAATGATTATTCTATATTTAATTATTTATTTTTATTTTAAATCCTTATTGGATTATATAATATATGGTCCTTTTACAATACTTAATCCCCTTTTTTACCAAATACATTTTTTTCTAATACTAAAGTATTTAGTTCTTTTGTTAGGAACTACATATTTAACTTATTATTTATACATTATCATTCTTTGATAAATCTAGAGAGTACAAATACAAATCCTGAAATATTTTTGATAACTGTCAAGATTCCATAATTTTTATACCATTAATCATCTCTTTATATTGAATAAACTACCAAACTAGTAAGATCAACCTAGAAGACATATCAGATGGCAAAAGCTGTTCCCAAACTGTCAAATAAATTGATGTCGACTTCTCTATTTAAAATTTCTTCAAATACAATGGTTTTACTATATTATTCATCTTACATTTTTTTTAAAGATATTACAATAACATTTTTAATAACTTCCCCTCTCATTTTAGCAACATAATCTTACTTTTTTTTATTTAAATTAGTTTAAAGATTCTCCTTTAAATTTTTATTTGTTTCTTCATTAGAAAATCAATATTTTAATTAGATTATCAAACTAAAGGCTTAGTTGATAAATTACATTAAAAATCCTTTGATAAGTTATATTTGATTTTTAATAAAGTTTTATTTAATTTTAGTATGAAATCCAAGCAAATCAAGACTCTTTTTAAATTATAATCTTTTTATGATTAATCACCATTTTAGAATTGAGATGATGATCTAGTAAAACTTTAGAATAATTTTTGTTCCTAACTTCAACTGTGATTGAAAACTCAAAAATATTAATTTATTTTAAAATAAAATCTAATCTGAATTCTACTAATAAATATTTAAAAAAAAAATTTGAAGAACTTAATCAAAATTAGCATAAATATTCTTTAAATTAATCAATTATGCTTGTATTGAGAACAAATTTAAAGATTGATGATATAAAGGTGTTTTCTTATTGTAATGTTTAGAAATTTTAAGATTTTGCTACTTAAGTACATTTTAAATTATCCTCTCAATAAAATTAAGGTAAAATATAAATATTGAATTTTAATTAAGATTAAAAGAACATATCTAATCACCTTAATAAATATCAAAACAAATTTTTTAATATATAATTCTTATTTAAGTAAAGTTAACATTTATCATTTTATATTTCCATATTTTTTAGCCAAATTGATGTGATGCTCTATTGATAAATGTAATCTTCTTTAATTATTTTTTATAACTATCTTTTCAAAAATTATTTAGTAACCTATAAATTTTATAGTGTTTATAACAGGTATTGATTATTTATTTAAATGTATTGATTTTTTCTTAAATCATTCCCTAACCCATTACTATAAATATTTGCATTCTTTACTTAATATTTTCAGATAAATATCATATTTCATTTTGTATTATTAGAAATTAACAAAAATAATTAACAGAAAAATATCAATTTATGAATTCTAAGAGACCTAGTTAAGAGAGAGTTTCTATTTAATTCAATTAAATATAATACCCTCTAAATCCTATAGTGAATTCTAACATAGATTATAGTAAGATATCAGGTTTGAACTCAAAAAATTCAAATCAAAATGAAGAATTGAAAATGACAAATCGATACTTATAAACTTAATTAACATTATATTAAGGTTAAGATTTAATTTAGCATTAGAGAAAGTTGGGGCTCTTGAGAAAAAGGTATCAGAATTAACAGATCAAACTGAATATTTACAAAATGAACTATACAATTATCAATTTGAACTTGAATAAGTTTATGTGAATACTTAGAAATAATTTAGTTAACAAGAAGTTTCAAAAGAGGAAATTGAAGGAAAGGAATATAATATAAATTCACTTTAAACTTAAGTTCAAGTTCTTTAAGATAAAATTACTTCTTTACACAATACATATTAATAGGAGAGATTGTAAATGAAATAACTATTACTTAACAAAGAACTGGATAATAAGTATATATATATTCTTAAGATTAGATTATTATATTCTGAATTGCATAAATTACAGATAAATATGGGATAAAAAAATGGGAATGAGGATAAACATCAATTAAAGGTTTTAATGAATGAATACAATGAATTTAAGATTAAGAAATTGAAAGAAATAGAATAATTATAGGATTAAATAAATGTTTATTAAGAGAAATTGAAATCATTTGATTAAATGTAAATATTTAAAATAATTTTAATTAGGAAAATTGAAGAAATGTAATCGAAATATTATCAAATTATATAAGATTAAGATTAATATAAAAAATTAGAAAATTAATTAAATTAATAGATTTAATAACTACAAAATCAATTATAAATTTTAACTCATTAATGTTAAACTCTTAAAGATGATAAAAATTAATGGAATAAAGAAAAATAAGCAATAGAAACTTACTATTTAGATTAATTATAAAAATAAGATAATCAAATAAATTTAATGATTAAAACAAACCACATATCTGATAGCAAGGTTATTATACAGAAATTGCAATCATAAATAGAGTAAATAATGTATTAATTATAGATCTAAAGATAAAATAATTAAAGAATTGAGCTAATAAAAATGTAATTGTTCAATAAATGCATAATATTATAAGGAATTGGAATAAAAAAATACAACTTTAATATTAGAAGTTGAAAGATTGAATTCTATTTTGAAATAAAAATTAGTTGAATTAGAAAATAATGAAAAAGAAAAGAAACTATAGATTGATAAATTAATATAATAATAATAGATAGACAATAGTTTAGTTTAAAAAGCAAAGGTACAAAAATGAATATAATTAATTATTGACTTATTTGAATATAAATGATATTAATAATTGAATATTTTGAAATAATTTTGAAATGTTGTCAAGTGAATGGGAGCTAAGTATAGCTATCATAGGAGATTCTGGAGTAGGAAAGTCAACATTTTTATCAATGTTTATAACTAATTAATTTGTGTAACGA